TCACTTGAGCGAGGATTAAATGAAAATTTCAAAATCGTCGTCCTTCCTTTTCTTTCCTATGCCACATACTTACAAAAAGGTATAGTTTAATGTATCCGGTGATATGATGTATTAACTTTTTTGGGGGTCTGCACATTCTAATTTATATGAATATTTGGTAATTGTTATGCTTCGACGAGTAAGCAAGTTAGGACAGGTCATTATGTTAATCATAGTGTAAGTTTCATGGATTTAATTATTCTTGTCCTACTTTCTCGAATAATGAGTCATAAACATAGTTTTGTTTAGGTAAGATGAAAGAAAATTTTATATTTTAAAATTGAATTTCATGTACAATGGTCGTCCTTCCTTTTCTTTCCTACTGCACATCATTACAAAATTGTAGTAAATGATATGTCGAAACAGTAACGCGAGACACATATTTATTGTATTATTAAATCTCATTTAAATGTATGTTATAAATTTATATATTAAAACTACATTGTTTGAATCTACACAATGTGTATTTAAATGGTATTGTTCCCATGGTATGTTGGCCATTTCTGTGGGTCAAATCTGATTCTTATTTCTTACATTATTTCAAGACAGAAATAATGTACCAAATTATGATGTTGCTTAACTGACAACGCATGTATAAACACAACATTTTCGAATATCTATTTTAAATTATTTGACTGCATCTGCATCTGGTAGATTAAAATCGGTATAGTTAAATGTACCCGGTTATTTGATGTATTAACTGTTATGGGACCTGCAAATTCTAATTTATATAAATAAATATGATTTGTTATGCTTTGACGAGTAAGCAAGTTAAAACAGGTCATAATGTTAAACATATTGTACGTTTTATAGTTTTTATTATTCTTGTCCTGCTTTCTCAAATAATGAGTCATGAACATATTTTTGTATAGGGGGAATAAAATGAAAATATTCATATTCTGAAATCGATTTCCTTGTAAAATGGTCGTCCTTCCTTTTCATTCCTATTGCACATACAGTACTAACAAAAATGTAGTAATTGATATGTCGAATCAGTAACGCGAGACACATATCTATTGTATTAATTCTCATTTAAATGTATGTTATAAAGTTAAATATTAAAACTACTGTGTTTGCACGCTTCACAATGGTATTTAAATGATATTGTTCCAACGGTCTGTTGAACATTCCTCTGTCACTAGCTAAAGTCTATTTAAAAATTGGTTTTCCAAAAAAAACGGTGTCCTATTCTTTCATTTTCTATGTTAGCTTACAATTTAAAGAAGAGGGGTATAAATGTTATAGTGTGGTTCAAAATTTGTTTAACATTTTATTATGTGACAGCTACGGAATGTAAGTTAATATAAACATATATAAACAAAACGATACTCAACACATTTTATTTTAATACAGACTTTACATCTAAACCTTTGTTTGCAATATTGTTGTCAAAGCTTAACGTTACCAATGTCTCTTACACTCTCAATATGATCACTGGTTACAAGTTTATATGAATATTGACTTTGTTCCGTTTTTGTTGCTTTTTGACATTTTGACGTTGTTTTCATTTTGAATTCATCCGATCCGAATACTTGTTTTATTGAACATAGAATTTTATTTCCATACGATACTGTGTAACGCTTGTGCTTGTTCACATATGTTATAAATACATGCGAAGGTTAGCTTCCCAGATATCCACCTTTTTATACATGTTATACTGGTGTTTGTATTTATTTCGGTGTGGAGACAGTAAAATGCCTCCCCGTGCTTAAGGTTTATGCTCCTATAATATACACTATAATGGAGTGGGTGTCCGAACGAAAATGTTTTTTTGTTCATTACTTTAAATATGTTTATCTAGAAATCATATTTCATAGTTCAGTCTCATTTTTCTCTTTAGTCAGACGTCAGGCAATACCCTGATTTACCCTGTCTTTTGTCTTCTGGTTGTGTAGTTTACGTATAGTGTCGGTACTTGATGACATATAGCGCATAACGTCTTACGCCTTACATTTTTACATTTTACTTGCTTCGATAATTGTATGATAGCTCATGTTTTGACGCCAGTCTTTGTTCCCTAGATAAAGATTACACAATACAGGTTAGAAATAGAAACATAATAAATATCATTCTTGGTCATTCAAAGTTCGTTGAAAGTACATGTACTTGATAAATTGAATGCTCAGATAAGTACTTTCGAATCTGTTCGAAATTGTATGATCACTACAAAAACACCATTCGTAAATATAGATAACGTGCAGACATCTCATACGTTCGGGTATTTCACATTTAATTGTTTCTAGTAATATTGTAGATAGGGCACAACGATATTGTTATTTACCTCAAAAGCTTACCAAACGTTTTAACCGAAAAATGCATCGAAAAAAAAAACAATCATGTATTCTATAACCGCTTGTGGGCAGGATATGTGTTATGTTCTGTTAGTATAATGTAGGATGACATGGAACTTAACCAATAACGGGATTGATTGTGGTCGATGTTAATATGATGACGATTTGTAACCAGTTCAATTGTGAAGTCTGGAGCTTGCATGTCAGTAACTGCTACGTGTAGTAGTCCCTAGTAAATTTTATCTATACCATTGTCATTTTGATTAGTTTCTTCTGTTAACCATTATAGCATTGGTCACCGACTTCATTTAAACTGAGTTTTACTGTGCGTTTTGCTGTTTGTTTGTTCATTGCATATTGGCTAGAAGTATAGGGAGAAGTTTGAGATCTCACAAAACATGTTTAACTCCTACGCTATTTTGTTTCTGTCCAAAGTCATGAACCTCCTGTCTCTGTTAGTCTTGTGTGTTTTTATTTAATTTTGGTTCACTTGTATGTTTCTGAGTTTAATTTGGCGTCCATTTCGCTGAACTAGCATACATTAAGGTGCTAGCTTAAGCCCTGCTATGATGAGAGATTATCTCGCTGCGTTGAAGACCCATTGGAGGCATTAGGTCGATCGATTTCTGTTATTTGGTCAGGTTGTTGTCTCTTTGAGAAATGTTTGAAGCATTCCCCGTTTCAAATCCACCATTGTATTGTTCTAGAAATAAACCTGAATTGAGTTTAAAAGATATGCGAAAGATACTTATTTAAGTTATCTATTTTTTTTAAATTATTTTGACTATTGAATATGGAGATCACGCACACAATTGCTATATATCATCATACACTACACTTTTCTAAAGATTTTGGGAAGAGTGTCTCAATGTTTACTCGTACACAATTGGTGTTTTTAATTATTCCATTGACATTTATGTTTCATGCGTCTTGAACATGACTATCAGCAGTTTGTTTAAAAACTGGTTTTTCACAAATTATTTTAGATTCTTGAAAAAAACCTTCTTAAATCTATTTTCTAACATTGAATTAACACATATTTAATAATTGAATGCTTCTTTTTATAATTCTATTGTAACGTAACAGCGTTGATAAAAGCACATGTCGTATGAAGAACTTTTTCTAAACAACATTAACATGGTTGATGTGTCTGAACCTCGTATAATTTATCACTTTGTTGTAGTAAGGCTATATCATCTTACTTGCTTACTTGCTCCACCTAAACTGATTTAATTGTGTTACTCAAAAAACAAAATAAACCAGTTGGCTTTCCGATATGATTGTTTAGGGAAAGGATAAATGTCTATGATAACATAATGAAGAATTCAAGTGATTTGGGATGATACAGCCCTTGGGTGGTGTAAACTTCCCCAAAAAATGTGTATGGTGTAATTGTGTATGGCATATAGTGCAATGGTAGAAGGTGTATGGTGCTATGGTGTATGGTGTAAGGTAATGGTGTAATGGTGTAACGTGCGATCAGGAATGGTGTTAATGAATGGTGTACGACATTTAAAACTATGGAAAATATTGATAAGAACTGATTTTTAATTTTATACATTAATTTGCAATATTGTGATCAAAATTCGTTTTTTAAAATAAATAAATAATTTTGTTGTCGCACGCTTTCTTTGAAATTAAATTGCATTATGGTGCAATGTGTAAGGTGCATGGTGCAAAGGTGTAACGTGTATGGTGTAATGACACAGGGTGCATGGTGTAATGGTGTATGGTGTTAGTGGGAAGTTTACACCATCTAAGGACTGTAACATGAATTATCCTGATATAAATCTTGTATATTGTAAAATATGGTGCTTTTTAATAATTTGTTTTAATCTTCCTTTTGATGACTCTACTATTCACATATAAATGGAACTACGAATAATCTGATAAATCATAGATTGCGTCTATCAAAGTGAAATACATATGATTGTTGATTAAAAGGTTAAATAACTGTAAAACCATAATTAGCATAATACCTACATTAAAATCTAAAAATATATGAAAAATACGTGTACTCTTAAAACGCAACGTGTAATGTACACACGAATTCTTGAATTCTTTCAACTATGTATTGATGTCGAAATTAGCCAGAATTGAAATTTCAGATTAACTTTTTTCTAATTATTTTTCTATTGTATATTCAATCATGCACACGGTAATTTGAACAAAAAATAACTCTGTTCAGATAAGAACTTCTCATTCCTAGTAATAACAAGAGTCAAAATGATTAAATTATTGAAAATTTCAGACATCTTTTTAGTTATATAACAATTATAAAAAAAACCATCAATACAAATCTGGTATTTTCCAGAATTTGTAAATATTACCACACAATATCACAATCAAGTCAAATATTCAATAAAAGAGCACAACACTCAGGGTTGATGCAATAAATTGTACAATGTTAAAATAAAGTCTTTGCACTAAGTAGGTAAATATAATCATACAAGACACTTTCTTACAGATGTTGAGAAAAGTGTCTCAGTGTTTGACATCTACACAATAGATTTTTATATTATATCATTGACACGACCTTATCGTGTTTCTTGAACATGACTCTGTCGATTGTTTGTTTAAAAACTGGTTTTCTATAAATGGTATCCTATTCTTGGAAAAACTGTTTAATATTTATTTTCATTATTATATCACATTATACAGAGCGTAATGGACGTACACATGTGGTTCATCATTTGTCTGATATTGTATCATAGTTCAGCTGAGGAATGTAAGTTAACATAAAACAAATTTAAACATAAACCAAAAAGTGCTATATTTTGTCAATTATTAAAATTTGTTTTCATATTCTCTTTTGATGCCAATAACGATACTAATGCTGTCCATTAAATTCACTGCTGTTACCAGTTTCTAAACTGACTAAATATGTGTAACTGTCGATCTTCCAATATAGCCACTGTTTACATCATCATCTTTTTGTTTTCGCTTGTTGAAATTTGTTTTAGGATACGCAACATTGTTTTTTACCGCATTGTCGGTAAATTATCCGTGCATGAAGATGTTGATTATTTATTAGCGAAGCTAGTAATTTTTCATTTGAAGTTTATTCGATTCCAATGCATGTCTAGTTGTACCTGGACTTTTTAAAATTGAAACCAAAATTCAACATTTCCTATTTTACATTGAACATACGATTATGTTCTTCCTTTCTTATAATAATAATATAATTTTGGACGGTACTAGTAATGAGCGTTTTTTTTTTAAATTGGAACAGTAAGCTGATTGATTTCAATCTTTTTACATGTTTGATTTATTTTAAAGAAGTAGATGGAAACAATAGTTTTACCGATTGTAAGCATACACTGTGAGTTTGTTTTTGTTTTTCTTGCACTTTGTTTTCTATTTCTCAAATGTTTATATTCTGTTAAGATGTTTGTAAAAAAAAATGTTTTTCTAAATAAGATGTTATTATAGCTGGGAAATATATATGGGTTGTTATTTTTTTATGAAATATATGAATGAGTAGGTCTTTTATATATAAGAGGTGGTTTAAACTCTAGCCAGACATCTGTTCCAAAATTTCGATGTTGCGAACCTAACTTTTCCCGGTCAACCCCAAACTACAATGTTACATATACATGGGATGTTATCATGCTGTAATAATTATGATATCTTGTCTAATTTGCATGTTCCACATGAACTGGTTTAATTTGGTTACCTAAATACAGGGAAATAACAAAAGTCTACGGTTACATAATAGAAAAATTCGTGTCTAACATGTTTATCCTGATATAAATCTTGTACCTCATAGCATATGATATTCATTTATAATCTGTAGATAACCTCCATTTTGTGTTTTCATTATGTATATAAAACATGTAAAAAGATCCCTCAACATAATGATCAATAATCAAAGGTTGCATATCCAAGCGAAATATATAAGATGTTTGTTTCAAAGGTAAAATAATTGTAAAGTTATTATTATGTTTAAATGCGATATTCAAAGTTAATAGATATATCAGAAATACTTGTATTCTTAAACACAACGTGTAATGTTTGCACACATTCTTTCAAACATGCATTGTTGTCGAAAAAGACCAGCATTGTTATTTTACATTAGCATTTTTTTCTTATTTGTTTTCTATTGTATATTCAATGATACGTACGGTTATTCGAACAAAAATCTCTTTTCTGAAACCACTTTCTCATCCCATAACAAGTGTACATATGTTCTAATTATGGGAAATTTCAGATATCTTTTAGAGTAATCCATACAATAATAAAAACCAGCCAATAGTACATGAACATTTAGAAATAGTAAGATCAATTTCACACGCATTCCATTGGTTCACACAGAAAGTATCGTTGTATGGGTCACCAGTCATACATCTTTTGTTTTCACTTTGCGTCATTATTTAAATATAATACTTTTAGATATAGCTGGTCAGAATATCCAGTTAGAAAACTCTTATGTAAGTCCTATTCCTAGTGCAAAATATGTAATTGCCACCTTTCTATAATACAACAATAAAAATAAAAAAAACATAAGGCACAAAAAGACACAAAAAGAAAACATTGATGACAACAAAATAGTTTAAGGCTCTTGACTTTTTACAGTCTCATAAATAAAGTGACTGATTTGAATATATATGCAGGTGCTACTCTTCAGTAAAAAAAATACTTTTTATTTCAAATATAAGCAAGTAAAATGTTGGTTAAAATTACAAGAATGTTTTCTATGGTATAAAAAATAGAGAAAATAAGAAAGTCAAAAACAAAACAAACATTTAAAATTTAGACAATAAATAACCGAGCTACTTTCAATATTGAGAAAAAAAAAAACATACCGTATAGTTGGTTATAAAAGGCACAGACAGAAAAAAATATCAAACAATTAAGTTGAGATATAAAAAGCCTTATAAACAACAAAACAATTGACGAAAAAAAAAATGTGACAGACAAGAACCAACGACAACCACTTTTCTGCAGGCTCCCCACTTGGGACAGGCGAATAAGTTATGTTGCGGGGTTATAATTGTTTGTGAGCTAGCTATAAAATATACTCCAATAAGCCATTACTTCATATATTAAGAAGTTTTTCTTCTCAAAATGGTAATGTCATGGCAAGTCACATGTGTACGGTAATACAAAGTTTTGTTGAAATTCACAATTGCTTGTACATATTGTAGTTCTAATACTACGTCCTCTTGTTGCCCCTTACGTGTACCTTAATTAAAAATCGTCATATCAATTCTCAAAAACTACAAATGAGATTGCAAACTTTTGAAGGATAGCAGACTTATTTGATTGGATGTGCGTATATATCTTATTTACGTAAAAGGGTCAATAATGGAGTTCCTTATGAGATCCACACAAGAAAATAGATTAAGGAATCCTATAAAAAAAAATACGTAAGCGTGTAAGAGCCACACGAACTTTTCTTTTATTTCAAGCTTAATTTTACGTATAATGCAAATCTTTGGGAAATAGCGCAAACATTTGCGAAAATAATGCAAATCCTTAGGAAGTAACGCTTGTTTTGTTAATAAATTGTTTTAATATATTCTGAGATTTTAACAACCAAGCGTGTCTATGCCTTAATAAGCATGTGGCTTATAATAATGTATAATGCGACACGAGTTGTCATTTTTGTATAACCCGTTTTTTCTACATGTTTGAAAAGGAGTGTATTTTTGTAAAAATCCTACTTGTAAAAATATGGACTAACAAAAACTATTTATTTATTTCTTAGCTAAACAGCTTAATAAACTGGTTGAACATTTCATTTAAAGTCAGATGTTTTGAGTGTAGGTATACCAATCTCCTTAGAAAACAAAATGAAAATTCACTAGATAAGCTACACTTATCTATAAACCTGTCATAATATGCATGTATCCTGAATTTAAGTTTTAAATAATACAAGCATTCAACTTTAATACTAAGTATTCAATCTATGCATGCGTAATAACTAAAAAAAGCTGAAATATCATAATAAAGCAATTTCAGGGTTGTAATTTGACACAATCATACTTGCTACATAAAACAAAATCATAATATGATTACTAACAACAAATGTGACAAATTCTCATTGTAATGGGTATGCTTTCTTAAATTTGAATTTTACATGACTTTCAGTGATAAAAATAAAACCGCTAGTTCATAGTCCTATTACTTTCTTTGTTACAATCTCCAATTTCAAGCTATAATGACTTGTTTGTCTTAAATTCAAATAAATTTGCAGTCTTTTCATACATTACTAGAAATATTGTGTTCGATATCAAAATATTACGGATTATTATAATACAGACTAAATTAGAAAAAATGTCATAATATTATGGGAATCACTAAGTGTCCCGACTTTTTGATAGGCATCTCAATCTGAAGTCTGCTAAAATATATCGTAGTAACAAAACTAATCACTTTTTATCTTAGAAAATTGCTACGCTATAAATATTTCTATTTCATCTTTCCTACTAACTTAGGGGTTTTAAACGATTTCAGGAATGCGTTCATCGTCACTGTTTTGATTCAACTGATAATTTCCTTTAAATGACCAGGATGACTAGATCGATTATAAAAAAAAAACAAAAAACAGCCGTTACATGTAATGGCGTAATAAAAGGACTTTTAACTCTCACGAAACATTTAAAGGTCACATATCTTACATATCTTGTTTGACTAATTGACTAGTTTGCAGCAATATACTAGTATCAACACAGTATATCAGCCATATGATCAATTCACAATATGTACCCACGATTGTAGGCAAAACAAATAAGTTGTTTTAATAAGTAATTTGACATTATTCAGTTAATTATGTTGTGTCCTTGTATCGTTATAATGTGTGAGTAACAAATAATACATAAAGCTAAAATTAACCCTCAACTCTATTCTAAAAAATATAATGCATAATAATTTGTCATACCGTTCATTTTCTGGCATTTACACTATTTAAAGAACTGCATGGGTCGAAAGTTCAGTATATTATGACAGGCTATTATGACTTTGGCACAACTGATAGTGTATTTTTTTTAACAAAATGGTAGATTGAATAACCCCATGAACAATGTTTTTCAGCTGTTAGTGGAAAACTTCTGTTTGCAAGTACCCAATCTCAATCTGTTATGGAAGTTGATGTTGATACACTCAGTGTGACTGTACTTGTTGGTCATGGAGGAAGTCGTGTGTATTCTTTGGACTACGATTATGAAAACAGATACGTTTATTTTCCAAGAATTGATTTGAGTGACATTGTGCGGTAAGTCTACTTCAACACATGTATAGAATACCTCACAAAGTTATAAAGAAATAAATGAGATAACAACATTGCAGGTCTTGCATGTCGCCATAAATAAAGGACATGTCCAAAATGCGAATTGAAAACAACAAAGCAGACGAGCTTTGGGAATCTGTTAGTATTTGAATACGAGATTTGTCTGTATTTAATATGGTAAATAGATATAGTAAAGAGTTTTTTTTTTATTTACAGTAACTTTAAGACTGAAGAGTAGATTTGAATAACTCAGTCCTTTGATAAAAGTGCAAAATGTGCTAACGAAAATTGACTTTTCGTAAATTATATACCATGTAGACGGGGGGAAAGCATTATAATTTAATGTTGCAAGAAAATATAAAATGTTTTATTCGCATAACATTGACATACTTTTTCCTAAATTGAAAACCATTTATTTATGTTCATGATATTTTTACTAATCTTATTCAAAAATGTAAGTAAAATATATTGTACATTATGAGTGTTTTTACTTTGCTCACATTTTCAGTATTCATTTTTTCAATTGAAAATATGACAAAATGATAACCAACAGTGCTTAGCTTTGAAGCATTTTCCTGTGAAACAATTAAACATAACATTTTAAAATGATGCGGTTGGAATATAATCTTATTTTTAATTTCTAGAATTTTTTTTAATTTTTTTTTTATTTTTCCGTTTACTTAAAGGAAAGCTCAATATGTTACACTGATGAACATACTATATTCCTCTTTTTGTGGTAAAATAAAAAAAAGTCTATTCTAGATATTTTCCGTATGCTATTGAACAACAAAATCAAAAGTGGTTTTACAAAGTATTTTTTTAAAGACATAACTGATAACTTTACACAACAATCATAATTTACCAAAATGATGTGTACTATAATTAAAAGTGTGTCATTTTTTTTTGTCATCACCCCTTATGTATGTGAAATTGACATGCATATGGCTATAATAACTGTACACTACATTGTGTTAAAATGGAGATATAGAGAATACCTGAACTAAATGTTCGAGAAGCCTAAATTGCAAACGCTTTTTTGTCCAAGAAAATGTACCATCTTGTTCTTTATGCATTATAATCTGCTTTCATTGTCCGTAGTTACATCAGAAAAATGTAAAACATATAATAACAAAATCACAACAGCACAATAGCGCAAATGATCGTAGAAAACATGTGAACTAACATGTATATATATTAAGGAAGATGTTGCATGAGTGCCAATGAGACAACTCTCTCATCCAGGTCACCATTTGTAAAAATAAACCAATATAGGTAAAAGAACGGTCTTCCTCATACATGATTGAAAATTGCAGGTCCTCGTCATGGAGTCATAAAACAACTAATGCGCGGCTTTGTTGTTTTCTAATATGTAGAGTTTTATAATTTCAAACATTAGTAGCAAGTGTGTCTTCTGTTGAAATTAAGTGATAGGAATGGTGTTATAAGTACCTTTAACTGTTTCTTACGTTTGTCATCCTTAGCATTTCTCGTACTTAGTGGGTGTCGACGTGTCTGGTTTTGATAGGTTATGAAGTTAATGATATTTCTTTAATTTGTTTTAATATTTTTTTAACACCTTTATGCGTATCTTCTCAATCGATAAATGATAATGTTTCTTTTATTTATTGTAAAAAGATTTAAAAGAACCTTTAGGTGCACATAAGAGCACACTGGTTCTGAAGTACTTTAATATTCACTTCTTCTTTTTTTGTAATAGACAAAATATGCCCTTCTTTTTTAATTGCATGCATGTTTTTGTTATTTATACTATCGATTTTTGTAGGAATTTATATGTTACAAATATATCTATATTTAATTCGTTATGTTATTTCTGACCGTGCCCCAATAAGTAATATTTGAATATTTAGAAAATAATACATTTTCAACGCGAGTGCACCATATGTTCGATTATTGATTTGCAATCAACACTTGATTTTACTCAGGGGTTTTTATGTCAGCTTTTATGTAATGCTTATGTCATTTATGTATTTGACATATTTTGACCGTTATAGACTTTAGTAGGAATTAATATGTTATACATATGTATTTCTTTGTTTGTGTTATTTCTTACCGTGCCCTCACAAGTGATTTAACTTTCTGTTTAGTTGAATTCAGCCTTTGATAATGACAAATATTTCTCTCAATGAAGGCTTAGTCTGGTCATGTCGATATTAATTGATAAAGCTGTCTTATTTGATTTTACAGAATTAACAAAAGAACTGATGTACAATATTTATGACAAATAATTGCATGTAATTCTGTTATATTTATGTTTATTATTTGAAGTACTTTATTATTCACGAAATTTGAAATCAATAGAACAGAGAACACAAGGTTGTTTAAAAAGTTTCTAATTTGTAATTACGTCACGTATTATTAAAATATAATAAATAAACAGAAAAGGAGGAGGTCGAAGTCGCAAATACCACTAATACTCAAAAAAAAAACAGATAATACCATAGCCCAAAAGAACAACTAACAAGTTCTACACAGCTAATTCAGATTACATTACAGGTACATGTATTCAACTAAAACCGGAGAGGAACTCAGATGCATTTTCTTGTCACTCATGGCAAGCAATGTGGGGTTTTTTGTAATCTGTTGCATTCGATCATATCTTAATAGAGAAATATAGGATGGATTGTAGCTAAAGAAAATGTCCCGATTATCTGTTACAATGATTTTCAATTATAGTTACCATGTAGTACAAATGTATCGTGTGGATATATTTCTTTATACAAACATTAAACATTTCTATATCTATTTAATATCGAAAAACATTTTTTTCCCTTTTAATATTTGTGGAACATAAAGGTTTCTAAATGTCATTCAATTTTATTTTTTTTTCAAAATAGGGGGAAAAAAACGCTCATATCTTTATTTAGGCAAACCCCTGGATAAATATTTGCCGTAACTATAAACTGTCGATTTTGGTTGCTAATAACGGTATATATATTTTAAGGAACAAATATTATCCTGTAAAATTTCTTTTCGTATGCAACATTAGTAAAAGCCCAATTTCATGGAGTATTGAAGGTGTCTTGATTTTGTGATGAAAATCATAATTCAGTGAGGTATGATTTAATGAACTACAAAACATAATTTTAATCAGTATCGTTAGTGCCTTACAGTAATTTTTAATTTTTAGATTTCCATATCCCTCTCAGAACATAGCACTGCAACATGTTGTGAGTACAACGGCTGTTCCAACAGGTATAGCTGTTGGTCCCGCGAATGATCATGTCTACTGGGTTAATGATGATGGTGGTCACAAACTTTCAAGGTGCAAATCAGACGGAACAAACGTAGTTGTTTTATTCACAACTATAAGTCATACTGTAATGCTACGACCAGATGTTCTAAACAGGTACAATATATTGATAGATTTGTAAAATGTTCGTGCGTATATCTTATCTATTGCAGATTTATTGTCAACAGTTATTAAATTACGACCTTTTATTTGCAAACATTACTGTCCAACCGATTGAGAAATGATAGTTTTTCATTTTTTGATTACATGAGTTCAGACTTGTTTAATTTTTTAGCTCGAATGCATTTCCTAAATGAATAGCGTTTTGCGTAGTATATAATTATGCTCATCATAGATACCAGGATTAAATTTATTGTGGTCTATCGTCTGTTTCTCTTTGCATGTCTTTTGTACTTAGTGTTAGTCTTTTTTTTTTTACTTTTCTTGTTTTTAAAGGGTTCATTAATATAAATTTAAAATACAACAACTTCCCTTTTCGCGGCCACAACGTTTTATCACGTATGATTACTAGTAATCAAAACAGCATGAATATCATCCAAACTACTTAATTTAAATCAGCTACTAGATTCATTTTCCGGAAATCCGTGTTTTGTTCCCTGTTAATTAGAATACTTTTAAATATAATTAATTTTTAACGTTGAGTGCACCATATGTTCGATTCATGATATGCCATCAACACTTGATTTTACTCATATGTGTTCATGTTGATGATAGCAAAGCCTTATCAACTACTGTTGGGTGCAGACCAAGCATTACATAACGCAAACGCACGTTTACGCCGCATGTACATATTTCGTTAGTTAACATCAATGTTCGCGTTTACTATAATTACGTTAACGAGGTCAAAATTGAAATTTACCCGAGGAAACGCGCGTTTAGTCAGTAGTAAACTTGTTTTGTTTACTACAGATTTCACAAGTGTATTTTCACGTGCACTTTGAAAGTAAACGCGCTTTTAATTCTCGCGTTAATTGATTGTGTTAATTATGGAATAAACTTCGTTTACATTTGTACATTTAATTTATTTTATTTAGACGACTTTTATCTGTATATTTTACGTATATGTGTTTAAAACCAAGACAATTCAAAAACATTTTTAATTCTAAATATATACTCTTAATATTTGCAAAAAAATCAGTTCCAATAAGTTTAAGTAGCAGATTGTCTATATTTTCTTTTCAAAAGTTACATGTACAAATATCGACTCACACAAATATTTTTACCAAAGACATATAATACGAATGTCTCTGTTTCCACTTTGACGGAAACGTCGTTAAAATGCATATAAACTCTTTCTAGGAACTTGAGCATTATCTGATCGTGCAAAACTCAGCCCTAACTTCAGTAATGATTTTGCCAGTTTTAGCAGTTCATTTGAGACATTTAAAGCAGACAAGCCACTTAACTTAGTAATTGGTAGACCAGACTTATGTCTGCTTTTTCTCTGCAGACCTATTGACAAGTCTGCTCCTGACCAGACCTATGGACAAATTACTATACTCGTTATACCCTGTATAGATATTGTACACATTAAAACATTTTCTTTTTTCATTTCATATTCTTATACACATTAAATAACGGCTATAAAATTACACACTTCTGATCAACAAATATACATGTAGCTATCATAAAACAAAGGATTTGTTTTTTTAGAAGGCGGATAGAAAGGTTATCTAACGCATCGGAAATATGTTTTTATATGATGAAATATAAACATTATGGTTTACGTTGCTTCGTTCTCCATTCTTAACAGTTTCTTTCTAAATACATGTATAACTCTGCATTTTTCTGTTTGTCTTTTTCTTTTTTAGCCATTGCATTGTGAGTTTATTTTTGATCTAAGACTTTGACTGCCCCTCCAAAATTCTTCATCAAATTTCCTAAATGTTTGTCACTTTTTAAAACACAAAATGGATGCAACATTTATTTATCTATGTGCTGTAAGGCTTTGAAACTTTTCATATTACAGGATACGGTGACAATCTGCGTTAACGCGCGGTTACTTCCAACAGTTAACGTGCGTTTGCTATTGACGAAAATAGAAGACGCACCTTTATTCACGTTAACGCGGAGTTAGACGCGAAAGTAAACGCCCGTTTACTGTTTATGTCTACTGAAATTTTGAAGTTAACGCACAGTTAACTCGGCGTTTACACGAAGTGCACGCGATTAAACGCCGCGTTAACTTTTTCCGCCCTTCTACATGTAATGCTTGGTCTGCACCCAACTGTAGTTTTACTTCTTTTTCTTTATTGCACGTTACGTTACTGGAATAAATAGTTTTATATGGCCGTGTCTTGGACGACAATATCTTTGTTACATTTTGTTTAATAGTTATCTAATAATATATTCGCTATAGGTAAAGCACAGAAGTAATGAAAATGTGTGTCGCACTGGAACGTCCAAAAGTAAAAAAGAAATAACATACTTTTACATTTTTAACCTAACTGTTCATGCTATGTTAAGGCAAAATACTGTATATATACGAAATTGTTTACATATGTCATGTAAATGCATGCTAATTTCAAAGACGATTTTTTAATGGCAAAACATATTTCTGAAACATTTGACTTTAAATAAAATTCTTTTCATTAATTCAATAAGTTATTTGGTCACAACTCTTTGTCAGCAGACATTAGGCAGAAATTAGCCAACTTGTGCTGAGAAAGCATACATGTACATTTACCCTTTGGAGCCAAGCAATAGCTCTACACACTAGATCTTACTTTGTATTTTTGGATGCTGTTAGTTCCTTGTGAAGGCTGTGTTGATATGATTTCGATCATTTGAATGACAAGTTAATTTGTTTTTAAAAGTTGTAAGTGCAGAGTGATTTGAAGATATTGAGATCTGACAAAGGCGCAAATGATGTCCGAGTTAAACTATTATTTCATAGACGTGACAAAAAGTAAAATCACAAAAATACTGAACTCCGAGGAAAATTCAAAACGTAAATTCCCTTATCAAATGGCAAAATCAAAAAATAAAACACATCAAACGAATGGATAACAACTGTCATGTTCCTGACTTGGTAAGGCATTTTCTTATGTAGAAAATGGTGAATTAAACCTGGTTTTATAGCTAGCTAAACCTATCACTTGTATGACAGTCACATCAAATTCCATTATATTGACAACGATGCGTCAACAAAACAAACATGCATATAAGGTAAATATGTCAAAAATAGGGGTACAGCAGTCAACATTGTGTTTTAATCTTAATCACTAACAAACAAATATGTAACAAAGATGCAAAAAATGGCATAAAGACTAAGAATATGAATAAAAATTAAAGACAAAAATACACAAATTACACGACTGAAATTAACCATAAAATTTTATTTTTAATGCACCCACCTAACATTCGGCTAAATCATATATCATTCGAAAGCACAACATCTGTACTTTCTTTTCTGCCCGGTCGTCAACAATTCGTATGGTGCAGTTTCCGTCAAATCACAACGAAAGGTCAAGGACAGACAACTACTAATTTTACAAGATGTCGGCATTTATGCATATTCTGTCTTCTGAATAATAATATTTTGTATGGACATATAGAATTCTGTTAGAACAGATGTTAATAGTAACTTATCAAGAGCACTTTGGAATATTAATGTCGGATTTTTAATGCATAGCGCCGTTTTCCAGAAATTCTATTGAAAATGACAAAAATGCATGAAAACCAAAATTTTTGTCTGTGATTCAACTGTTATTCACCATAAAACCAAATAACAAACTTGATTTAGTGCAAAGGATGTTTTTGACATAATTTGATTACTGCAATTACGCTTCTTTTTAATAAAACAGCCAATTATAACAACCATGCAGTTGCCAAAAATTACGCCATCTGCAAAAAGATAGCTTTTTAGCTGTTCTTTGTTAAAACAATTTGTATGTAGTCGATATTAGGTTGAAAAACACAAATCTTAAAAGTGCAAATATGTTAAAGGACAGAATACACAGGTCATTCATGCTTTTAGGGGAAAGTTTTGGAGTGAAACTTTGATACTTCAATATTTCAATATTCATATGTTTCCTTGGTTGCTTATACTGCATCTTGCATTGACTTAGGAGGTGAAAAATTACTATAAGCTAGCCACTGAAATGTTCTTTATGCCTGGTCAAGGTATTTAATCTTATCAAACTACGTTATTCTTGTAAATAAATTGAGACTTTCGCAATTATATTTCCTTACATTAGTTTTTAGATGGAAATTCTAGCAATTCGCAATAACAGTACATACACTCCCTGAATAGTTTACATATACATAAATTATAATATAAAGATGATTGATGAATTGTTGTTGTTTGACGCAATTTTCGGTTCAGCACTTTTAGCTACTAAAGTATTTAGCGGCGATCAGGTTTTAGTGGTTTAGGCCCACGAAGTACCAAAGGAACCACCGACCATCGGCAGGAAAACTGGCAATTAGTATCAAGAACGAAATTACTGTGTATGTGTCACTACAAAAATCTACCAATCAGCATCAATTACCTTTTGTAAAAGTATGCAACCTCTTACAAATCAAAGCAGGTTTGATATTGATTTTTACTTCAGCTAATGTTACAAGTAATGTTGCGTAAGAGAAACAGAAATGTAAATGCATTTGAACCACTTTTGTTTCAAATTTAATTGGCCATGATTTTGCATTACAATTTTAAATTAGATGTGCCACACAATATTTTAAGGCATTTAGAAACAATAGCACTATTCTAGTAGATCATCTGTTATGCATTGGTTGGACATTGGCATATTAACCTAAAGATAGTGCATGTACATTAAGAATAAATATGGTTAAAATGAAGTTATTTTATTCTAAAATATCAATACAATTGGGAGAAATGATAATTGTGGTTGAATTTATCCAGTTGCAGTTGTTATCTTATACTTCGTTTCTATGTATGTTGCAT